AGGTCAGCTCCAATCGCGCAGACAGACTACTGTGACAATAATCAATCATTGTTATTTTATATACATATGTAGTAGTCTACAGAATACTTTTTTCACAACCTAATATGAATAACATAGGTATAATAAATTTTTATACACTAAGAGCTTGAGTCAACGTTTAGGTTATGAAATCTCAAAGTGATCTTTACGACTTTCGTTCTTTGACTTTAGCACATTGATTAATGGAGTCTTAAAACAACCGATAAACTTACTTTGGATCCCAATTAGAAGTTTATGTCCCAACGAGAAATTGTTGTTAAGCGTGAATTACGATTTATTATATATAGGAAAACGTGATGGTTGCATTCCGAATGTTATCTTCGGGCTCTATATTCTTGTACACCTTGTCAATGGCACGTTAGCAAATATCTTATTTCCTTATATACTTCTTGATACCCTAAATATTAAAAAATTTTGTTGAAGAAAGTTCGAAACATGTTTTGAAGTGACCGGGAATTTTGAATAGATAAACACAAAATTGTTTCTGAAAAATTATGAAGAAAATGTTGTCAAATATGCTAAGTCAAAACTTTTTAAATCTCTAGGAAAACCTGATTTAATTTGTTTTTTAGATTTAAAATTCAAAGGAAGTATAATTTCGTTTCCAGTAGGTTGAATCCATGTTGCTGAAGAAAATTCTATTGGATATATCTTTATAAACTGTGTAACGTAGCAACAAAATCATTACGTATCTATCAATAATAAAAATAAATATGGTAGCCTTGATACAATATAATTTTATAATGTGGATATGGCAATTCTTGTTCATAACTTATTGAAAAAATTCTGTTAATCACAGAACACATACAGAAGTGTTGAAATTGTTTTGAGCCGTCGATTCATTTGTAGAACGACATAAAACTAATGTGGCTTCATTATATAAAATCTCTATACGACAATTAATTATAATAGACTTTTATATATTTATGTTACTTTGGATACGTATCTAACTTATGAGTTTTTTTTATTTTATTTTATTTTGAAAAAATAAAAAACCTTTTTTAATTTTTATATCAGCCGAAACCGAATTTATTGTTGTAAATGGGTAGAAAGTTAATTTCAGACCCTGAATTGGATTGAAAATTTGTGGTATTATATATACTATTAAAATAATATTTTGCTATTTTGTATGCAAATATGTTTAGCTGTACCTCTTATATGCAAGTATGTTAAGTTATACCTATATCTGCTCGTTGTATAACCTTTCTACATCTAATAATAGCATTTGCTAATAATATGGCTTTTGTACTTAAAAGTTGCTGTCTTCTGTTCTGGAATGTTCATAAATCCAATGATTAAAATGTGTGTATTATAGTTTATTTTATTCAGAACTAAAATATGGAATTGAGTGTAGGGTGGGACATATACTTATAATGCTAACGATTCAAAATAAGTCACTCGACTTATAAACAATGGAATGCGGCTTCGGCATAATATCTCATTTTTGGGAATTTGAAAATGCTGCCATTAAAATATTTTTTTATTATTGTAGATTACTAAATTCATCCACTTATTCACTTACAATAATAATTATAAAGTTAGTTATCATTTTAGTAAGGTCTTCTCACAGAATACAAACGCATTTTTTGTTTTCAATTTGAATAAAACTCAAATGTATAAATGAAATCATAAAACTAAGCACATTAATTATAAAACTTTATTAAAAAACAATTCTTACAAGTTATACAAGAAAATTGAAATCTATAATTTTTCTATCATTTAAAAAATAAAAAAAAAATTTTAAGGAAAATAAAATATTATATTACTCATAACAAGTATAAATTTAAACGAAATTCTGTGTATGACTTAGTTGGTGCCAAGTTCCTGATCCAATAATTTACACTTGATGCCCGTTTAGTAACTGCTTCTTTAGGTCTTTGACCTACATCTTTAAGTGAGGTTTTATGCTTCTACCGTTGGCACGAACAGTGTCTGTACGGTTTTCTTATTTTCTGTGATCGCTACTACCTTTTATTGCAGTCAATTTTGACGATTTCCTGAGACTGCTTATTTTATCAAGACCAAAATAAAAGGATGTAATGTAATAAAATGTAATTTTATATTTTGTAATAACCTTTGCCGGCTCTTTCCAAAGCTGGGGTATACTCAGAGTATAGCAGGGTTAAACACAAGACTTAAAAAATTTGTTTAGTTATTTTTTAAATATAGATATTAAGTCAAAGATCTCTTTTCGGCTCATTCTGCGCACAACTCATGAGGCAGCAAGAAGCTCATCTCATACGATGGCTCACGATCGAAGATTTGTACGAAGGTGTAATATTTTTAAAAAATTTAGTTAAACCTAATAGTGAAATAGATTTATGTTGCTGTAATAAATATTTTATTTTGCTTTTTATATTTAATATTATGCAAGTATTTTTAATTATGAAACAGGCAATTAGATAACAATTCTCAATTAGCCTTACTACAGAATCTTATTTCCTTATGTATAACTTACTATTAAATAAAATTTTATGAAGTAGTTAGCCACACACAGAAGTACAAAATCAAACTCAGGAACCACCAAAACCCACTTGCAAGCAATCTTACTCAAAGCACTGGAACCCAGCGTCTCAAAAGGAACTATATAAACCCGGCTATTAAAGAATAATGTCCGACATGGAAACGAAATTGGACGAAGCTTTGGATAAGGACAATTAATTATCTATTTTCTCTTCTAATACAGTAATTAGCAGCGATAATTTATTGTTAGTTCTAAGTTGATTTTTAGAAGATTCAATAAAATTGATATTTTTAATTTTTTCAAAGTAAGATTCGTAGAACTGATCCTCTTCACTTATATCATTTCGAAACAAATACCCTTTCTCTATCTACC